GCATTTGGAAAACTGAGAGAAACTTTTAAAAGTGAGCTGCCCACATGCCTAAAGATAAAGGTATTTGATCAGTGCGTCCTCCCAGTCTTGACGTACGGAGCAGAAACACTTACCTTAACAAAAGCCGCAGCTACCAAACTGAGAGTCACGCAGAGAAGAATGGAGCGGTCCATGTTAGAAATAACTCTGCGAGACAGAATAACCAACGAAGACATCAGGAGAAGAACCGGAGTGATGATGAAATTAAGGTGAGTTAGGTACCATCCAGTGACGGTTCTCAAATACATTTCAATTTCAAAATAGGTCCTTTGTTGAAGACTCTCGATCGAACCTCCGAACAGTAAACATGTCAACAATTAGCGATAATTGAGATGTAATATTAGCTTATTAGTTTGGACAAAATAAGGAATTTTTTAATCAAATGTAGAATTTTGTTTATATCTAAAATTGAAACAAAGTTGCAGTGTAAAAGTGTTGCTTCTTCTGGACTAAAAACTGTAAGTTTGATTTCATCATTTCATTTCATATTTCATCTAAACAAATCAAGGGTAAACAACTATTTTGCAGATTTGACTTGAGATTAATTGTCAGTCCTTCCGGTAATGATCCATTATAATCATCAGGGTCGTATTCAGGTTATTTATCCCAAGCATGGAAATTGATTCAACAGCGGGAACTTCCACCATGGAAAGTTTTGGCAATCTACTTGTAACCCAACCATCAAAATTATATTCTACAGCTCTAAATCAACCTACAAATAAATTTCCAAACAAAAAACAAGCAATTCTACTTCACTCACTCCCAAACTCTAATATTGAAGTTTACCTTAATGCAGTAACTTCTAAAGTGGATCCCAGAAAAATACATTCTACTTCTAAAATTATAAATGATCGTATTTGTATCTTCTTTACCATGAACAGACAGTCGATGAGTTTTAAGCAAACGACCATGGAATTGTAGTAATTAATCAAGAACGTATTCAAGCCCGAAGACTTATAACTCCAAATGAACGATTGATTATTTCCAACGTATGTTCAAGTATTTCAAACAGCGTTATAGAAGAACAACTGAAAAACTAAAGTATACATCTAATAACTCCAATCTCAGGATAGGGACTTCAAATCCAGCATTCAAGCATATCTTGAGTTTCCGACGATACACTTTTATAGCGCCAACTAATACAAATTACCTGATTATAGGTAAATTAACCATGAGAATAACAACTATCGAATTTTCTTTTCCATCGAAAAGCAATCTTGCTACTTGCAAGCGGCAACGACATTTTGCATCTCAGTGTCTCGATAAAAATAATCAGACTCATTCTAACAAAACCCAAAATAATGTTCCTCTAAACTCTCTACAGGAAGTACACCAATTAGCTCCCCCTTTGACAATTTCTTCTACACAAACATCTCCTACTGAGACTGAAATTACAGTACAACAATCAGCTCCTTTGTCGATAAATTCCTCTACACAATCCTCTCTTACTGAGGCTAAAATGTCTAGAAAAATTATTACCTCTCAATCAAAGAAGCATGCTCTGATAAGCTGCGACCTACCCAATGAGACTCAAATGAATACCTTTGATCAAGATACATCCTCATCTCAGCACCATAAACGAAACCTATCTGAAATAATACCCCCCCCCCCCCAATAGGAGATAACGAAAATTCTTTCGCTGAACCGAAGCGACGAAGCAAAAAACCAAAAACTCAACAAGAAAACAACAGAAACCTAGTAGAAGATCTTACCAAATCCACCAGTCAATTTTTCAAAGAAAACTCTAACAATGAATACTTAACACAGGAAGAACTTATTGACTTATTTGTGTCGCCAGAACTTAAACGGAGGATATCAAAGTCGCCAGAACTTAAACGGAGGATATCAAAGGATTGATAGACTTTCTAAAGAAAATATATCCTATGTTAAGTCCAAGATATCTTAAATCCCGTTGTTTTAGAATTAAAAATAAAATTACAGAACAAATTTTAAGTAATACTTCTACCGATGATCCTAGTGATTCCTCAGCATGGACTTATTAATTATACTATTTTTTAAAATATTATTTAATGGAACCTAAATGAATACTATACCCATTTAGAAGATCATAAAATTTTTATAAATAAATTTCATCCATCCATCATATGTTTGCAAGAAACACATATCAAAGGAAATTCGTGTCACAATCTTAAAAACTTCATATCCAGACTACGATTAGGACACACCAAGATCACAAATGATTTCCTACTACAGAAGTAACCCAAACCTTTGTGTTACGCGTGTGATAGTGATCTAACAGTATATCACTTATTAGTGGAGTGTCCGTTGTACGCATTCGAAAGACAATATGAACAGTTACCTACAACAATAAAAGACATTCTAAGTGAACCTAGTGAGCGCAATCGTATCATACCTTTTTTTGGTTTCCTCAGGACTAATTAACAAAATCTAATTGTATTCTTTATTTTTTTATATTTATGTTATCTATAAAAAATCGACCATTGCTAATAATCCTTGTGGTTAAAGCAGTTTCAAATAAAAAAAATAGGTCTTTTCATTAAAACTGTTTTCGGTAAAAAGGTATTGGATATTTTTAAAGTCTATTTGGTCGGTTCCTAAGACCGAATGAACAGAAAGGGCAAAAGATTATTTCTTGCACTCACTATCACATTTGACTTACATAGTACGATCTGTAACCCTACGACTACTGACTGGGTCCAATATAGTTTTATAAGGAAATCCAGTCAAAATTTCACTCCGTCTCTTTCTTTAAATAATTTTTTCCTAGTCTCGTTTGTTATAGGTGAATTTTTTGTTCGTCACAATCACAATTTGAAATAAAAAAGACTTGGGCTCTGAAAGTTCATCGGAGGAATTAGAAGTGCTAGCAGTAGCTAAAGGTAAAGCTACATCAAATCTGTCTGTTACAGCCAACGGTGACCCAGATGAAGGCGTTGTTGTGCAGGGCATTGTGTCACTATGGGCTTTATTGTCGTCAGAAAAGTGAACTGCAGCAAGATTGGCTAGATCTGTAAAAATGTTCTTCTCCAATGGGTACAAACCAGTATAGATAAAGTCAAACTTTGCAAGTTGCATCCTACAAATAGCTTGGAAAGCTAACCAATCTAGCAAATGACTCTTTGGGTTATTTTAAGTGGGCAATATTGGTTTATCCACTATTCGCAAGCCTGAGTGATTTATATTTGTTGAAGAAACGGTTCACTTGTGGTTTGTTGAAACCGACATCTCTTTGAACACTTGTTGACTGTGGTTCTCTCAACGACAGTTGGACATGGCAGCTCAAATATTCATAATAAAACTTATCTCCTGCAAGTTGGTGCGGAAGTAAGTGCTCGGCTAACTCAAAAACAAATTTTAAAAACTCTTTTTATTGTTATTATTTTGTTGTCTAAATCTATTAAATGCTCAACTAATTTGGTTTCTAGCATTTCAGAAAATGTCTTTTTAAAATACTTCAAAAATCGATGACTTACCATTTTTTATGTAGGTATCGTATACCCTCATTTAAGTTAGATTTTTTTTCAAGAGTTTTTTCATAGTTTTTGTATTTTATTTTTGCGCCCGTATACGGTGAAGACATAGCAAAAAGAGGGCTTATAATTACTATGATAATACTACGTTACGTCTTATAACTAATAATATCAATTACTAATGCAAGGTAACCAAAACCAATAAAGAAAAAAAGGAGTGGAACGCCTAGGGAAAGATATTTAAATGAAACTAGGGAAGATATAAAAAGTTCTCTAGTATTAAAACTAACAAATAAATACGAAAACCATAAAACTTAATCAAGTATTTCCTTAGTATTATTTCCTTTGAATCTAGGTAGATACCTATGCAATAATTCAATATTAAAATAATAATTCAATATTAAAAATTATAGTTATTGAACAAATTCCCCTTCGTTGGCTCAGTGAAGATGTTCGTTCAGTTGTAATGGAAACACAAAATAATAGTAGCAGAGTTTATTGACGAGACGCAAGGACACTAAACACAGATTCTTGGACGATACGTACACTATGGGTGTTGACCCGGGATTACTTTGAGTAGAGACTGTTGCAGTTGAGCGTTGAAGACTATCACGTTTGTTGAGTGAATATATTGATTGAATGCTTCTCTAGGCAAGAGATTTTAGTTTTATATAAGTTTTAATTGGGTCAATATATTCGCGGACGTAATGACATGTGTATCTAAGTTGTGTGTAAATTGTTTAACTTTCGTCAGCACTTTCGACTGATGTCCAAATTTTATTGTTGATAATTGACCAAATCTAATGTAACCTAATTAACTACGTGTGTGTATTAATTAACAAATAAATTCATTCGGTCTACTGGGTGATAAAATTATACTGTCCAATTTCGGATATGAATTCTGAAGATTTGATATTGGACAGTTCTTTACCTACATTTAAATATTTCATCCTGTAAAATTTTTTAAAATTCAGTGGCACTAAAATATAAATTCAAACCAATTTTAACTAATCCCACAGTAGGTATTATATTTAGGTATTTCTTCGAAACCACGCTTTATTCTGTGACTGCTGTGACTACATCAGACATATAGAGGAGTCACCCGGTATATAATATCAATAAGGTATTTTATGTAGATGGGTTTGGGTTTTTTCACAATTACACAAGGTTATTACCTTACGAAAGCTATTTTTTTTTTAATAATAGATAAAGATAAAAAATATTGGATAGATTTTCAGATAAAAATCAGTAAAAAGTTTTTGTAATTTAAATTAAGTACAGCGCCATCTCGTAGAGAAGAATCACAACTTCGTGACTGCCCATAAAGATTTTTTATGAAATAATTGTTTATAATATATATTAATATGTGATTAAAGATTATTATGATAATAAAATAAAATAAATTTTTGGTGTACTTGCTATTAACTAACAACTAGATTTATATACTATTTTGTGTCACCATCGTATTTTTCAATCTCAATGTTGGCTGCATTGTTTAAAAAAGTAGTAGTTTCTGTCACTTTTGTTTCCTTTTCCGCCGACGTTTGACAGCTACAGGTTAGCTAAAGTGTTTATTCTTAAATTTTATTATAAAATTTATCTAACTACAGGTATTTTTTCAATTTAAAATATATATTATTTCTCTTTTAAAACTTGTCTTTTATATTCAATAAATTTCTGAGTGTTATGTTTTTTTTTTAATTTGGGAAAGAAATATCTGATACCTTCCACCACATGGTGCTTGTAGGGATAACATCTAATAACTTTCAATTTTTGTTTTTCAGAAAATGCCGTCTGTAACCTTAAAAGACGTTGATCAGCATAAATTTGTGAAGGCTTTCGCCTCCTTTTTGAAAAAGTAAGTAAAACATACATTTTAAGGTTATATTCAAAACACATTGTAATTTTTGTAGAACTGGAAAACTACGTGTTCCAGAATGGGTTGATCTCGTAAAAACATCTAGAGCTAAAGAATTAGCTCCCTACGATCCCGACTGGTACTACGTCAGATGTGCTGCTATTGCCAGGCACATTTATATCAGATCTCCTGTAGGTTAGTACATTCAAATTTTAATAAGACATTTTTGACTACCTATACCTGTAAGTGCGTTCCTATGCAGATAATATATGCAAATACATGCAATTAAACTTTCAGAATACACAATAAAATGCATTACTAAGTCTCAATTTTTGTTCTATTTAAAGCATTGTTTCTTAGGTTGCAGGTTATTGTATTCAGATGTTGTTGTTGCTCAAGTGATTTTTTTTTTAGTGATTAGGAAATATTAATATAACTTAATCTTTATTAACATCATACTCATAAACAGTAATATTTTTCTAATTAAAAAGTTGGTACTCTCATATCAATTACTACTTTTATTAGGTTGATTGTTTCTAGTTGTTATAGATCTCTGATTTATAACGAAATAGTATTTCAGTGGTTTATCTATCTGCAGTCATATTTCTAACTACACTCACACATATATACTTTTACTGGGTTTTCCTTAAATGGTTGTCCAAGGGTTGAGATGGTATTCAATTAATTGAGGCTTCTCATTGAAAATTTATACATTTTAAATAAGACAGATGGAATATTCAATTTAGTAGTCTCAAAAAAAAACGAAGGTTTCCTTATCCAAATATTATCCTCTAGGTAGTGGTAATAAAGTGTCATATCTTCTTTATTGCTTCGTAGAAGTGTACCATTTTATTTAGTAAATCAGAATGTCTATAGACTACATTCTATCGCACATGATATTAGCTAAATTTTCCACTTTATTTATATTTTTATAAGCAAGTTATCAGCTGTTTTGGGAAGTCCTACGAGACTATTAGATCAATTTTCTACTTTTTTTATGGTTGAAATTGCTATCTCATTAGGTAATTTTGATATTTGTCTTACCTACTATTTTTTATTGAATTTCTAGTAGTACTTAATTAAGTTAAGTCTGCATTGCATTTAATGGTTATTTTTTGTTTTTTTTTAATGTAACTCTTTTTTTTTCTTAATATTTAATAGCCAAATATAAAATTAGCTGTAATAAATTGTTTTTTATCCAGTACAATATAATAATCTATTTAATGCTATTTCATGATTATAATTCAGCATTATTATTTCTTTTGATTTATAGAAGATTTATAGAACTTATTTTTGTTTAAAACTAATTAAAAACTGAAATAAATTTATTTTATATTTTTGATTTTTAGGTGTTGGATCAGTTACAAAAATCTTTGGTTCCCGCAAACGCAATGGAACTAAACCCTCCCATTTCTGCAGATCAGCAGGAAGCATTGCCCGTAAAGCTCTCCAAAGTTTAGAAACAGTAAAGTTGATTGAAAAATCTGCTGATGGTGGTAGGAAAATCACCCAACAAGGTAGGAGAGATCTTGATCGTATTGCTGCACAGGTTAAAGCTAAGGAACGTAAAGCTCTTAAAGCTTCTGGTGTGCTGACTTTGTAAATGATTAAGTTTTAATAAAATAATTATTTGATACATTGTGTTTTTTATATAACATCTGGCCTAAAGAAATACCCTAAAAATTCACATTTTAACTTGAGCATCTTTTTTTTTAAACAAATAGTAGTACCCCTCTTTCAGAACTTTTAAGTTTTAATAACTAACAAGTAAAGTTTCATTTATATTGAATATATGAGGGAGATTATATGTCATGTTTTTTATAAATTGTGTCACAATTTTTATCTGCTGCTTACTGATACATTATTAACAATTATCCCTTAGTATCTGTGTAGTGTTTGTTACAGACAAGCATATTATTTAGCAGGAAACTAGAAATTTTACCTCTCTTGGTTTTGATAATCTTTGTTTGCAGATGTTTATTGTTAAAGACTACTTACTTAGCCAAAATTGATGGCTGTATATACCCTCCAAGAGCTGCAGTTTGTTCGTAATAGATATTGTTTATTAAACAAAGATCTCTGCTGTCTACACCAATTGAATTTAATATTTTCATCAGTTCGTCATGTTTTATTCTATTGAACGCTTTCTGGTAATCAACAAAACACACATATATCACAATTCACATCTCTACATCTTTGAAAGAGAAAATATATTGCAAAAAGTGCCTCTCGAGTACCCAATGCATCCCTGAAGCCGAATTGTGTGTTTATCATGTGTACTTCTTTATATATTCTTTTATCTATTATCTTATTCTTTTATATATATTCTTCTCTATATTATATATATATATATATATATATATATATATATATATATATATATATATATATATATACTTTATATATTCTTTTATGTATAATTTTTAAAGTTTTCAGGAGATGGCTGATAAGGCTTATTATTTGATAATCTTCACATTTTTTGGCATTGGGTTTTTTTGTGATTGTTATAAAAGTTGATCTTAGCCACTGTTGGGGTATTTTTCTAATTTGGTATATTGTTGAGGATCAAGGAAAGTCTTTTTACTTCGTCTTTATCCATATTTTTCAAAAATTCTGAGTAGAACTTGTCTTGTCCTGCAGCTTTTCCCTCCTTAATGTTGTTTATAGCAGCTTCTACTTCCGCTTCATGAATAGGTATCTTCATTTTTATTTTGTTTGATGGTGACATTCCTATCATCTTCAAATGTTGTCACATAGTTCATCCATGTTGTTTTTGTTTCTTCAATATCAACTATTGGATTTCCTTGAGTGTGTGTTAAGTGTTTGTGGAGGTTGAAGGAATCATGTTTATGTTCCAATATCTCCATTTCTTCACACTGTTCTTCCAGATTTCTATTTTTAGCTTCTCTGACAACTTTTTTTATCTCTGTCTAGACATTGATATGCAACATAGTCTTTCCGCTTGACTGTAATATACAGTCTGTCATCGATGGTTTTTTCTTTTCTGTTTTTCAGTATCAGGTATTGGTCTAATATTTCCTTCCCAATGTTTTCTTAAGTGGTTTATTTCTGTGTCAACATCATTAACCTCTTCTGACTTGTTCTTCAGATATTAAATACAAAACCTAACTGCATTAATTCTGCGGCACTCACTGTTCGTGCCACAGTTAACAAGTTTTTGATAGGTTAAATTTCACAAGAAGGTGGCAGGGATCATTGGTTTACATTTTTTTAGCGTTGTAAAGTTTTAATATCATTTTTAATAATTTGACTTATTTTTTAATTTTTATGTAGATAACTAAACTTATGGATTCATTAATTCCACAAGAAGTGCATAAGGGAAAACAGAGAAATGAGTACAATTGGAAGAAAAACCAGAGCTGTAACCAGTGTGAACACGCTTAACGATAGTGTGAGTTGTTGTATGCAAGAGATGGAAATGAAAGAGTGACTCCTTAATGTACAATGTTCTTTCAGAGAGTTGGTTACTGTTTGCCTGCTATTTTCTCTTGGATAATATTTTATAGCAAACTATATTTGGAACCTGTCAGTACATGTCAGAAATACTCCAGCTTTCTATTTTTTATGCTTTGTATACAAAGTATACACAGTGTGCCTTCCCAACAGCCAAACGGAAAGTGAAGTATCTAATTTTCTCGCGACGATTCGAACTGTTCTACCTTCGAGTCTAAGCGCTCTATTTATTTTCAACGTACACTTTTGACATTCTCTCGCCTATCTTGGCTGAAAACTCTGATATTATTTTAAAATCATGTAGGAGGAAGGGAGAATTCGTGAGATAAGAAATAGCAATTTGTATGTATATTTAAATGTAAATAAACAATTGGATTATGTTATTCTCTTTCAAAGATTTAAAACGCAATTTGAAATGCTTAATAAAATCCTTATGAAATTTGTCACATACAGAGAGGACAAAAAACATTTACAATACCTGTATAGTTGTCGCTAGTCCCCCTTCTTGTGAAGTGGGCATAGTATACCTAATTTCCAGTCCGCTAGTGTTTCCATGTACCTAGATTTCGTTTATTAACTCATTCATATGTTTTAATAGTGTGAAATGACTCGAGCATTTTCAATTGTTCCCAGTAGCGGAAGCTCTATCAAATCTTCATTGTTATTAGTTAACAGTTCTCTAAAATGTGTAGCCCGCCTGTTCAATATCTGTACTTTGTCACTAATTATAGGACCATTCTTATTTATATAGGATGTTATTCTAGGTTTGAATTTTTTACTATAACTATATCTGTTTATCCCAGGTTTAACTGCGTTATGTGCTGTTGAAGTCTTTTATTCCCTTAGTTTTGTTGTTGATTTGGGAGTTAACTATACCCAATCTGGAATATTTTTTTATTTAGGATATGAAATAAAAAAGTATTAATTTTAAACTTTATTGGTAAACATTAATCCTGTTGTATTTCCATATTGTTTGTGCAAATACAATGACTAGAAAAAATAAAGCAAAATACTTAAATTACAAAATTGGGAATGTATAATTGCCATGCCTTCCACTGTCAATCAATTGGATATATTTTATACTCTTCCTAAAACTTAATGATTTAACAAATTTCTTCAGTAATTAATGACAGGATAGGTTATTAAACAATAGGATTCCCGCTTCTAAAGGAGATGTGTATAATTGAAATTTGTAAAGTGAGAGATACATAGACTTGAGAGAGTATTACGTATACCTGATTTTAATCAGTTTTTGATTACAAACTCTTTTGTAATCAAAAGAGTTTTGATTACAAAAAAACGGCGATTCCAGGCTATCCAAATCTTTTTGAAACTTCTCAACTATCTTTCAGTCAGAAATTTATGCTATAGACATTAATGCCCAAGAATATCTCAACTGAGACACTCACATGGCAAAAGTCTTTATCTTATCAAACAGCCAAGCCCTCTTAAAGGCTCTAAAGACATTTACTTGTGAGTCAAAATTGGTTTGGAACTGTAAATAATCTCTTACGAAGTTGGCGGAACGCAACAAAGCAACTTGCACGTGGGTGCCAGGTCACAAGGGAATGGCAGGAAATGAGGAAGCTGACAGCCTCGCAAAAGAAGGTGCTAATCCATTCCAGAACCTTTTGTGGACTATCGAAAAGACACATCAGAAAGGAATTCAGTCAATTAAGATTACATTGGTTTAACACACCAGGACAAAGGCAACCAAAAAGGCTCAAAAAAGTGTTGACTTCTCGAAATGAGTAAAAAGGATATCAAAATAGGCACTACCCTCTGAGATATCTCAAAAAAAATGGACAAATCAGATAGTGAGAACTGTCGTTCCTGTGACAACAAAAAAGAAACGGCAGAACATATACTATGCAACTGCGACAACTAAAATTCCTAGAAGAGGTTGGTCAGTCTAGCACCCTCTGACATAGAAAACAAGTCACCTTGGAAGCTAATCAACTTCATCAGAAGTATTTGCATCCTAGAGTTCAACTAGATTAAGGTATTGACAAAAGATCTTTATAAGTTGAAGTGAGGTGAGGCTGCATGGTCTTAACGAGCTCACATAATCTATCTATCTACTAAACACGGAAGAATTTAGTCTACTTTAAAAGTATATCTTGGATCTTGTCAGGTATTGATAATGCACTGGTAAGATAATACTGCATCAAGCACTGATCCATCCATGTGTAGGTCTAAAAATTGAAACCATCTAATCAAATAAAAAAAAAATCAGGATGGCGCACATATAAGGAACTCTATAGAAACGCAAAAGAACTATTAATTATAATATCTAACATTAACAGTATTAACTGATATAATCACAAAACCGCACTGGCGGTATAAAGGGAGACTAGTATAATTAAAAAGACTAAGGACGAATTACATATCAGTATTTAATTGAAAAGTAAGTAAATACACAGGTAATAATTGAAGACAATAATATGAAATTGCTTCGGACCAAGTTGATAGTTTGTTAAACTGTGTTTGACAGAAAACCAATATTATATGCAATAGTAAAGATGAAGAAATATAAAGCAGCAAACCTATCTGATATAGGTCCCTGGAGAAAGATTCCCAGATAAGGTGAAGAAGTAGTATGCAAGTATATAAAAAAATAAATTAAATACAGTTGTTGATAGTATAATTTATGGGCTTAGTAGCCAAGGAATCTGGATTCCAAACTCAGTTTGAATACTCATATTAACACAATAACCAACAGGGCTATGTTGATTATGCACGTCAGTTATATGGCTCATAGTTGTATATTGTTCAGTACTTTGGTGGAAAAAGAAGGTTTTGTGCTACCTCTTGCACTACTATACAGAGACAATCGCTTCTAAATGTGACAAGAGTTTTAAATAGCACAGGAACGGCATCTTTAGAGGCTATCACAGGTGTCTATCCGCTGGAATTATATATTTCGGCGGTAGCCTTTATGACCATCCTGAGATTGAATTCAAGCAATACTTGGAGACCGAATTATGTTTTAAATAGTCATACAAAAACTACTGGGACTATAGGTACTTAAGAAATCTATCTTTCAGATGAACTCATAATAATGACACCAGAATTATTATTCACTGAGAAGATCTAAATATCAATCGGGACTTAATATGATTCATCGATATATTAAAACTGCCGTGATACTGGATCAGCAGTCT